AGCAACACAGAAAAACATGTAAGGCAACGTCACACGATGTCACAAACAGCCTAAGGTAGCTGTCGCACAAGTAGCAAGGCTGCTGAAAGGTGTGGAAAGGTGTTGGCTCTGATACCAAGTAGAAATATAAAAAGAAGAGAAAAGAGAGAATTGCGTAAAGGCTTGAATGAGATGAATTACCCATTCACAGTTTTAGTATTTATAGATAAATGAGCACATGCTCATATTACAAGAAAGGAAACAAAATCAAATCATTGCATATTCTATGCCTAGACATATGCGTAAATAAAGTCAAATACATGATTAGTGGCTATCATATCTCACAGATAATATGGTAAATCACATCCCATGATTTGGGCCTATCATATCTCGGCTATTACGGTAAGTTATACCATAAATCGTGGTATCATAAATGCTAACACTAACATAACTCATAGGTCAAATTTCCTCAAGGAAGGCTATAGAAACGTTTTGAGTATTATTGCTGAATACACCTAGATAACCTTGGTTAAACCAACTCAAAGTATGTGAAAAACTATTCCATCAATCTCTTCTTAAAAAATAATACTCTTTGGCTATGAAATTTTGGAGGAATAGCGAAAGCGAGCTTGGGTTGTTGACTCTGTGGGGGAGGTTGATGCATATCTCGGTGGTAGTTTATTATTGTTTCACCTTTTTAAATGTCAAAATCAGTTTATAAGAAGCTGGGTGAGGCCAAGCAAACTTCTGCATACAAGTGCGCCATTTGTCGTGGCAATTTTTTTTGAAATCCTCCTTAATGGGATAGTTTATATATTTTGGTTTAGTACTTGAGGCTAAGCCTACGTTTGGTAGGAAGGAAGGAGGAGGAGAGAGCGAAGAGAGGAGGGATGGAGCAAGCTTCCATTATTTGGTAGAGGGGAGAAGGGAAGAGGTGAAGCATGGGAGGATGGATGAGGCAGCCATTTGGGGCCACCATTTTGCTTCTTTCCAAGGAATAGGGGAGAGAAAAATAAGGGATCTGTTGAAATAGATTGAGAAAACATTATTATCCCCATGTAAAGTATTAATTTATATATTTTATAGGTATAGTGGTAATTTGTAAAGTGATAAGATCACCCCTTTCATTCCCTTCTACTCAACCAAAAATAAGAGGGGGGTGGTCACCTTTCTTTCTCTAGGGATGCCTCTTCCTTCCTTTCACGTCTCCCTTCCATCCATTTTTTTATTTGTTTCCTACCATACAGATCAAGAACTTTTTTTTTTTCTTTTTCCTTTTTTTTTTCTTGATCTGCAAGGTTTCATTAAAAGCACTCAAAAGGGGAGCACGCCCAAAGGTATACAAAAGGCACTATACTGACCAACCATGTAATAATTTTTTTTGATAAGTCCAACCATGTAATTATAGACTCTCAAGCTATTAACAAAATCAATCAACTTCCCCAAGGATTTACAATTTTACCCTTTGACCTAAAAAATAAAGAACTCAAAATAGAATATCTCAAGACCAGAATAGGAGTTTTCTCCCCATCAAATGCTTCTTTTGTATATGGGATAAGTTGGAATTTTAGAATATGTGTGATATTTAATCTACTGGGGATCAAACTTGAATGAACTATTAAAACTAATCTTTCTGATTTCAACGAAGAACAATGACATCGTGATTCGTTCCTTGTCAAATCAGGTTGTAGTTTTGATTTCATGAACTTCAAGAAGAATGGGTTTTTGTTCGAGATGAGAATTTTGGTCCTGATTTGTATATAAATATTGAAGTATCAGTATTTTTTGAGGTTCAGGATTTGCAGCATATAGAGCAAATTTCATGTCGTGAAAATACCTTCTACTTGTCATTTAATGTCAAATTAAAAGAGTAATTTTATTTGTCACTCATGTTAAAGGATTGCATTAGTAGAGTGTTTATAAATAAGAACAGGTTCGGGTGTTGTAAATGCTGAAAATTGTGTGAAAAATGTTTATCAATCTCTTATAATTTTGCTTAGAATCTTGTTCATTGATTTCTTGTAACTTTTTCTTTCGTTTTTTTGTCCTTAAGTAATTTCCTGTAACTTTGCTTAGAATATTTTCAGTAGATTGGTAAAGCTGAAATAAAGGAACTTGAAAGTTGCACGGCACCAAGTAAAAGTTTGGAAGATTGTGCAATCATAGATTAGATAGACTTAAAGTGGGGGAGGGTGACTAGGTACTGAAATCTTTTGCCAGTTGATTTTCTTTCTATTAACTAATATAAACATACAACTAATCAATCAATCAAACTAATAGCAAAAATAAAGCAGTAAAGACTTGTAGACACCAGCTTGAAATGGAATACTCCAGCACGGAAAAACCATAGGACTTAGTCCATTACCAACCAATGCATCCAATGCACTCATTGAAGAAAGAGTACAACATTACGCGATCAATCTAAACCATTAGGGGTTGTAAAATTTGACACGACCAGTCAACACAGCTCGATCCCAACACAAAATTAGTGTTTATAAAGAAAAACAGGTTAGGGTATTGTAAATGCTTGGAAATGTGTACTTATCAAAAAAAAAAAAAAAATGCTTGGAAATGTGTGAAAATCGTTCATTAAATTTCTTATAACTTTACTTAGAATTTTGTTCATCAATTTCTTGCAACTCCGCTTAAAAGCTTTTCAGTAGATTGCTAAAGCTGAAATAAAGTAACTTGAAAGTTGCACAGCACCAAGTAAAACTTGTTTGGGAGATTATGCAATCATAGATTAGATAGACCTAAAGTGGGAGGGTGAATTCGTACAGAAATCTTTTGCCAGTTGATTGATTTTATGATTTATCTAACCAATATACACATACAACCAAGCAATCAATCAATCAAACTAATAGTAAAAGTAAAGCAGTAAAGACTTGTGGACACCACCAACTTTTACGTGGAATACCCCAGCAGTGAAAAACCAAAGGACTGAGTGTACTACAAACCAATGCACTAACTAAAGAAGGATTACAACATTACCTTGCCAATCCAGACCGTTAGGCATTGTAAAATTTGACAATAACACGATTCGAACCCAAAAATGAAATTAGTGGGTTATGGATGACCTTGTCATGTTCATGTTATTATCGTGTCAACTCGATTAATCCGTTTAATTAATCGTGTCATGTTCGAGTTTGAGAGCTCAATCTGTTTAGTTAATCATGTCAGGTTAATCTGAATTGACCGTGACTTTTTTCATATTTAAATTAGTATGGTACTTGGTTAATTGCCTGATTTATTGAAATAAAATGAAAAAATTCGTCGTTCTATATTTTTTAATTCAATGCTCTTATTTTTAGTTTATACCTGCATTTTATATTTAAGAAAAAATGGTAAATAGATTGTTAAATGGGTCGTCTTGTGTCACAGGTTGTACGACCCATTTATTAAACAGGTTAAACGGGTAAGGTCATGTTACCTGCTTAATAAACGGGTCATGCCCATGTCTAGCGTGTCTAACCCGTTAATAAATGGGTCTTTTTCGAGTTTAGGCATATAGCAGAATACTTTTATTTTGACAAGGCACAAATACGACCCGTTAACAGGAATTGCCCCCCCTCCAGACCATACTCCCTAAAATAACTAGTCAGCTGAATCTCAAAGATGACTGAATCTCAAAAGATAATCTACTATATTTCTCCTGTATATTAGCCTCATATCAAATTGAAGAGCCAAAGCCTTGTATTGAGTTTAGGAGTCCCAAACACTATCAAAACTAAAAAGCAATTTTCAAAAACTCGTTCAAGGATTGCTTCTCTTCAGAGGGCTGATCCCTGACCTTGAAGTTCAGTCCTCTCTAGGAGGGATTGATCTTCCATCAAGGGGGACCTACCCTTACCTGGAGAGGTCAATTATCAGCTGCTGATGAGGTTTAGATTGGGTCTCTTTTCGTATTTTCTGGGTTATAAGGTGTTCTCATACATCAGGAGCCTGTTAGGACACATAAAAATCACTTTAGTACTCTATACAAGTCTATCTTGTGTCATTCATGAGTTGTTTGAACTTATTTAACCAAATCTTTTCAAGTGGTGCACTCAAGTGCATCTTTCCTTCCCTAATATGTGATCAAGTTGATTAAAGACAGTTGAATGTAGTTACCAGGCAATCTCCATGCGATATTATGGGAGTTTCGTCAAACTAACTAAATTGTTTTTCAACACATCATCGAGAATCATCTTGACCAATAAATCAACTGACTGCTCAAATACATAAAATGACCCAAACATTACAACCATAATTTGTTAATGGAAATTGCCAATGCACACTTACTCTTCCAAATGGAAATGACTCGTTTTCCTAACAGAACTTTTGTGTTCATAATTAAACTAGTGATTCTACGAAATTTGTTCTGCTTTGGTCTTTAAGGATAGGGTATTTGTTTTTGATGTTAACTTCATCATCAACAATCAGAAATCAGGGTGGTGCTTTTTGAGTCTGTTCTGGAACCAGAGATGTAGTCTGATATGTTCAATTCAACTTTAGTGGCTCTTTAGTTTGGAATAGTAGGTAATACATGATGGCCTATATTGATCTGCAGATAGGTGTTGGCACCTAAGGTGGTGTTTGACTTGCATATTTTTTGGCATGTCCACTAATATACAGTGAACTAATTCAGTAGTTTGTTTATTACTTGTCTGAGTGAAAATATTTTCTATCTTCTTAAAAACTAATATTGACTATTCTGAATGTATTTGTTTGGCTAGACTCTAGAGTATATATTTTGGTTGCTTATGCATGGTTTACCAGTTGTGTACTATGCCTACTCATGCATAATGAGCTTTGTGAGACTTGGATAAATCATGTAAAAGGCTTGATTTTTTGCTTTGAAGTCCAATTTTTTTTATGTTTGGATTTTGTCTGCTGTTAGTTAAGTACAAGTCTATCAAATGGTCTACCAATATCTTGCAGTATCTTTAGCCATTATGTTATTCAACTTTTCTATTCCTAGTACACTTAGGGTGTTTGATTGTGTTCAAACTTTTCTTCTTTTTCGCTTTTCCAAATAACAGGTTATAACAATGACAGAGCAAGAAAATCTGGCGTTGCTAATTCTTCCAACCAAACTCGGGTGGAACAGAGAAGGTAATTTCTGTTGGGCTCAATAACTTATTTTCCTTTCCATGTAAAAAGTAATTCCCATTGTTTGCTCAATGTTAGACAACTTTGGAAAAAGTAACTGGAAATAAAGTTCCTCCATATATTCAATCAGGGAAAAAGACAAGGATAAAGAAAAATTGAGCCCATCTGTAGTGATTGGTCTCAATTAAAAAATGCATTGGAAGCATCTTGCCATAATATATACACATATATATATTTATGTATGTATATATATATATAAAGGATAAAGAATAATTGTACAGATTAAGAAATGAAGTTTGTAACCATTTATGTTAAAATTTTAAGTAATAAGATTTGCACGTGTCTACAGGAAAACGGGACTTTTGTAACTTCTATTGACTACTGGGACAGCTTTTTTCTTTACTTTCTTTCTATCTTTTACTTTATATATATATAAATTATTTGTTTGTTTACTTTCTTTGGAGATCTGTACCACATTGTAATTGGTGGTGCATCTGGAAGGAGCAAAATAGTAGAATGTTTGAAGGGAAGGAGTCGTTTATAGCGACACTGAAACTTTTTATTATTCGTTCTCTTTTTTGTTATGTGAACAGAAGTTTGTGTTCCTCTTTTGTTGATTTAATTTCTTTTTTGGATTCTTTGGGGCCTTAAACCCCGGTTTTTTTTTATGTCTACGGGACGCGTTCCCCTATTGAACGCCTTTTTTAATTTATAATTACTTATCAAAAAAAAAAATTTATTTGGTTGTTTAGAAGTGAATTGAGATGACCTTTGAGCATCTTTTGTCAGGCTGATAAGCCTTCATGAAATCCAATTTTCTAAAATTAGTCAACTCTTTCACGATCAATGTATGTGCACTAAGAACAGTTAATCAAAACATGATGCTTAAATAAACAATATCCTCAACATTAAGCAGGCTTCACTACTGCAAAAGCACTAGTTTCTACAAGATTCAAACCACATACTATCTGCAAAAAAAAAAGATCAAAAGCACAAAAGTTGTCTTACAGTGCTAATGGTTGCATGACAACCTCATAGCACCCACTCTTTCATTTACTACAGTACTGTATTTCAGTTAATGTTGATTTGATTGGCAAATATGAGTCAAATATATTTGCTCCATTTTTTATTTTTTTCTTCTTTTATTTTTGAGTATATATATATACCTACACATACATATAATATCTTTACTATTTTGTTTCTATGTGCTCTTCTTTGTCTCCTTCCTTCTTCACTTGAAGATCTCTCCCTTTGAACTACAACGAACAAGAAATCCAACAGTGGCGTGAAGAACGCAGGAAGAATTACCCATCAAGCGTCAACAAGGAGAAGGTTTGATCATATGCGATGCGTGCTGTCTTCAATTCTTATTTGGAGTTAGCATCAGTCTAACATTTTTTACTTCCTGCAGAAGCTGATGGAATCTGAAGTCATTGAGAGATGTGCGAAGTTACGACGCCAGGTACACTGATCTACTTTATATTTGCAAACATGAATTTGGTGTCTAGAGATGGGAATTGAATAGAAAAATCATCTGGTTTATCACTATTTATTTAATGAATGGTCTCTTACATTGAGGGCGGGCCTTGGTGCAATGGTAAGGTTGCTCCATTGTGACTTGGAGGCCACGGGTTCAAAATAGGAAACTGCCTCTCTGCATGCGGAGGTAAGGCTTTCTCTGCATGCGGAGGTAAGACTGCATACATTTAACCCTCGCTAGACTCTGTAGTGGTGGGAGCCTCGTGTAGCGGACTGGCCATGTTTGTATTCTACTTTTAGTATTAAACTGTCACAAAATATATGGAGTGTAATTTTAGTAAATCTAAATGTACAAATAGGTAGGTAGTGAAGATTGAGGATCAAGAGGTAAAAAGAAGTGAATGTTTCTGTTATTTAGGCTCAATTATTCATAATGAAAGAGAAATTGGAGATGATGTTAATCATAGAATTAAGGCAAAATAGGTTAAATGGAGGAGTACATTCAATATATTGTGTGATCAGCGTATTCTGTTAAGATTAAAAGGGAAGTTCTATAAAACAGCTATTAGACTAGCTATGCCTTATGGAACAGAATGTTGGACAGTTAAGAAACAACATATGCATAAAGTGAGTGGCAAAAATGCAAATATTGTGATGGATGTTTGGCAAGACAAGAAAAAATTAGAAATGATCACATTCATGAAATGGTTGAAGTAGCATGAATTGGAGATGAGAGAAAATCGATTAAGATGGTTTCAACGTGTACAGAGAAGAACACAAAGTGTGCCAATTAGGAAGAGTGACATAGTCCACATAGAGGGTAATACTAGGAGAAGGGGAAGATCAAAGTTAACGCGGGTAGAGTTAGTAAGGAAGACATGTTAACATATGGTTGACTGAGGTTATGATCTTAAATAGTGCAGAATGGAAAAATAGGATTCATGTGGCCGACTCCAAGTAGTTGGGACAAAGGCTTTGTTGAGTTGAGTTACTATAGTCACAGCACAGTGAGCACATTGGGAGAAACAATCTCTCACAACCTGAGGGAATAGGCAACAAGAAAACTACCTAACATGCTATGGTAGCCGAACCTCTCACGATCTGAGTGGACTGACCCAAACGAAACAACAAACACTCGCATTCTTCTTTTTGGTACGTTGCTATGAGCAACTCTAGTGCTTGATCTTGGGTCTTAGGTGTGGGTAGAATCATGATAAAGAAGGCTCAGTGGTTGTATAGTTCTCAAGCGGAAAGTCATCTACTTGCAAAGTAGATGGAGTGATTTAAGTGGCCCTTCGTGCGCCAACATACATCCAGCATAGAGTGATGCATCAGAATGAACATGGAACTTCTGATTGCCTTCCTTCCAAAGTTTCCTAACTGCAAAAATAGGAAGCATAGACGTGAAGTGTCCAGCTTGGGATTTTCTGTGAGACCTGTTAAATTGTTGGGACTAAATGGAAGCCGTTTGGAAGGATTTGATATTGAAAAGGCAATCCAAATAGTTCCAAACTTCCATAGCATGCTCACTTTCAGATTGTCCTAGCTTGAACTATTCTTTGGCAGGGCATTTCTGCCTGTGACCGCCTTTCCTACTAAAAAGACAACCTATCAAATCTGTCTTTTTTCTAGACTAGACATGTTGGATTTATTTTAGGGTTCATACATACATTGATCTAGTCGAATAACTTACTCCAGATAGACTACTCCTAGCATATCTTCCTGCCCCCTCCCCTGGGTTCTTTCTGCTCGGTTCCACAATCAATCCCGAATCCTTTATTTGAGGGATGTCATATTCTGCGCTCTTCTAATTGCTTAGAAGGGTTCAGGAACCCCTTTACATCTAGGGGTCATTGAAGCTCTATTCCGTCTATTCAGGAACATGTTTATTAAGTGGTTGGCTGTGAAACCCATCAGAGTCAAAAAAATCCCTGTATTGGCAATCTTCAATGGACTACTTTTTCGATGTCTGTCACATGAAGAAGCCTGGCAAGCCTTGCAAGAAGTACACGGTTTTTGTCGAATTTTATTATTTGTGGGTGTTATTGGTTTCAGGTTCTCTCGAGGTTCTTTAGAGGGCTTATTTTCTCAAGTCATGATTTCTTGCCATTCTTTTTCTAATCAAAACCATGCATCACGAGTTTGCTCAATCCCATGTAGGGATGAGTGAGCATAGCAGGACCAAGGTAGATTGCTAACTCTCACCATTTTCCAATTGAGCCGCATGAATGTAAAAATGTCCAATTATCTTCAAAGAGTGATTGCAGAATGCTCTAGCAACCTTCTTTCCATCTCTTGCTTTGTTTGCTTTGCTTGCTAGCTAGGAGGGTAGCGCAGGCCAAATACAGAAGCCCTAAGAGCTGCAGTAACCACCATTATCACCAAAGAAAAGCAGCCAAGGGAAGGAGGACTGGGAAGGAGGAGGTAAAATTCCATGCCCAGGTTACTGGAGTGGGATTTCTCATAAATGTGCAACAGGCCTTGCTATTGGGGTTCATACTTATGGCTCTCAAGAGAGCCACAGACTAGTCAAGGTGAAGATTTTTTTGTTCTATTTCCAGTCTGGAATAACAATAGACTGAACCAACCTTTTTGATAAGCCAGATTAATTATATGGCAGGAAACTATAAGTTTCATTCAGACATTACTTTCTTCTCAAGGTTTGGTGCTTGAAGATGAGATCCTTGATACCATCGGAGGTAAGATAATAAGATGCTTACAAATCCTCCTAATATGGAAAAAGTTCAAAAGGTGATTTTTAGCATGTCGGCGCACACTAACCCAAAATAGAGGCCTCCCCTATCATTTAAAGCCTGATTGCTTTCCGGTTCTTTTTAAATCTTGTTGGGATTACATAAAATAAGATCTCTTCTAGCAGATCACTTATTTCTTCAGTGAAGGTACGATCCCTCCTTCCATCATTGCTACTTTCCTTGCGTTGATTCCTAAGATTTTTCCCTGGGACTACCTCTATTTAAAGGCAATCGAAAATCAAATCTCTGGATAGAATATAAAAAAAAGGCAGTAGAAGATAAAAGCATTGTTGTCCAGTGGAGGGTGGCTTATTTTGCTTAAACATGTTCTCTCCTCGATGCCTATACACCTTCTTGCAGGGATTCCAGCTCCAAAGGGAGTTCTTGACTAGTTGAAAAAATGTTAGCTAACTTTTGGTGGGGTGGTGATGAAGACAAAAGAAAACATCACTGGATATCTTTTGATACTATGTGTCTTCCTATTTAGGAAGGGGCTTTGGGTCCCCCTACCACTTGTACAACGCCGATGCGCTGGCGAATTCTGCTTCAAAAAATGTTTTGGTCTAATTCTGCCTTTATAAAAAAATATGCTTCAATTTCGATCATTGTTCATCGAGCGCTCTCATCTGCCTTCTATGTATGCCTTTGTAGTCATTATTGGGAGCAAATGAAGAGAAGCACAAGAACCCCTGCACAAGGAAACATAACTTCCCCATAGGTCATTAAACCAAGCAATCAATTTGGTTGGAATTGACAGAAACCTACATTTGTCAATTGACCGTTACCAATAGAAAATGGAATGAAGTCATGGGGAATTATAAAGACAGATGTGCCAAATCAAAACCTTCTTCATTATTGGAACAAGATCGCTTCGCTTTGGAAATATAGGGATTTCATGGAGAGCTGCAAACTTTGATCTTGAATGCCCTGGGCATGGCACCTTGTGCGTGTCTTAATTGCTCATTGGCGCATAGCTTCATTCTTGCATGGCTCCTAACCTTGTTAAGGAAGAAGTAGGGGCCTGAAATTGCCAAAAGAAGTAGTAGCCGCCCATCCCACATGAAATTCTCCTACGGTTAGCCTATGATGTACAACTGTAGATTCTGGTGCTCTTCTGGTCTTTTTGGCTTAGGAGTTGATTTGTGTGATCAACCCTTAGGTCAGGAGTTCTAGGGTTGGTATAGAGAGAGGAGAGAACACTCACTCTGGTCAGTATGTAGAGTCACCAATCCAGTAAGTCAACGGGAAATGCCTGTAACTCAGACAGCGTCGCTAAGTAAGACAAGAAAGCGCTTCGCTCGGTTGTCAGGTGGGTAACTAAGGTTGTGGTGTGGAATGCTTAATTATACAAGGGGCTGTATGCTGACCAACTCGGAAGAAAGAAAGCAGCCCCTTGTATAGGTTGGTATGTGCAGGTAGCATAATCACCCTGATATCATATCTCCTCTAATTTTTGCACGTTGAAGAAGAAATCCTGCCCATAATTTTTTAAGATTTATGGAGAAAAAATCTAAAATGAGAAGCAATGGACCCATTCAAAGTAAATATATTATTGATCAACTTGTGCTTTACAGATTGATTGCTTTTATGTCTACTATATTATAAAAATTGTACATAAATCTGTCCTGTGAAGGCTTTGAGGGGAGACTCCAAAGCTCATTGCTGCTGTTTAAAGGAGATGGAGACTGCAATCTGAAGGGACTGAAAATGTGAGGGTTCCAGTTCAAGAAGGATTAGGAAGCTAAAAAGCTTTGTCTCTTCAGTTAACTCTGATGGGAGGGGGCAAGACAATGGTGTAGAAGAAGAGTGGGGGGCGAAGGGAAGGGAGCTGTTAATTTCCTTCTCCCAATCATTGTGAAACTACAAGGAATATCATGGAATTTTTGGGAAATTTAGTTATCCATACAAGAGAGTCTACTTGAAGTCAGTTTTGTTCGAGTCATGTGATAATGTGGCGTGTTTGTAGGAGAAGAAGATGGAAGTGATCACAAAGATCTAGGAGTCTGTGGGTGGAAGATTTATTGATCGGGGCAGTTGGTGCTGCAGAAGGAATCCTTTGATGTAGTATAGGGTCAATAAAAGATGCAACGAGGGGTTAACTTTTGGGGATATGGCGAGGGTGAGGACTAGATGGGAAGGAGTTGGTGTATCAAGAGGACGTTAATGCGGTCAGATATGGAAGTGTTTGGGTTCTCAAGGATTACTATGGTCATTAGGGAGAGTGTTGAACAAGAAAGTTTTATGGGATGAAAAGATAGAATAATATGAGATGAGAAGAGAAGAGAGGAGGGGAATAGAAAATAGACGAAAATGGGTGAGAGAGCAAGAATATGGGTGGGAAAAGACACAGATCTTTTAAAAGACAAATTCTTTAAATCAAGTCTGCATAATTCTATTAAATAAGGGCCTTTATAAGAAACAAACTAAAACCCCTAAAGTGATACCAAATGGTTGTGGAAGTACGTACGTGAGCGGGATAGTGTGTGGAAAGGGTTGTTGAGAGAAAATTTGGACATGAGAGAATTGGGTGGACCTCAGTAAAGGTGAAGCTCTTATGGGTTTGAGTTGATGAAGGCCATTTGGAGGGTGAAACCATGAGGGAAAGGAAAAGAAATTATAGGTAATTTCATTTTCTCTTATTTGGTTGTAGTGGGGAAACTGTGAGGAAAATAAAATATGAAGGGAAAAATAGAAGTGGATTTTTATTACTTTGGAGAACCCACATTTCCTCACGAAATAGTAAATAAACACGGGAAACCTGTTCGGAAAGGAAAATTTTCGTTTCTCTTTGTTTTTCATTTCCTTCCCACTTTTCTTCACAGTTTCTGAGAACCAAACACAGACTAAAGAGTTATCAACTGTGCCTGCTGGATATGTTTTTTGTCATCATTCTCACCTTTTTTTTTCTTTTTTTCTTTTTTTTTTTTTGTGTGCGCGCGCAAGTGACGTCATTCACATGTTGCAACCAAAGAAACGTTCACGAAGAGGGAACAAATTTTCTAGGTTTGATAACTAACTAGTGACACTGTCTTGGCAGAGTTCAATATGAACTGTATGTGCCAGTCACTGGATTCTTTCTTATAATTTTTCCTGCCCAAGACAATAGTGGTGCATCGTAGTGAAATTTGCTTTTCTAATGGCATGTAGACCGAACTTACACTTCTCTGGAAATTGTAAACTGCCTAACGTAAAATTCCTGTTTTCCATGTTTTCTTTTTGACAATTTTGCTATTTTCACTGCTGAGTTGTGTTATTTGTTTATTTGCTATTATGGTAACAAACTAAACAATTCTGTAGCAACTGAAGGAAATTTTAGCAAAACAGGTCGAGTTGGGTTGCGAAGTTGCAGAAATACCGTCATACTATCTTTCAGATTCAGAGAAACAAGTGAATGGAAGGGAAGCAAATCAAAGGGCAATGACTAAGAAGGAGAGGTTCCAAAACAAGTTCAACAAAAGAGGAAGATTCCGGCAAAATGACCGGCTTGCCAAGAAGCAACTGTTAGCAGACCACGATTCATGTAATGTGCATGATCAAAACAACCGGTTTCCCAAGAAGCAAAAGTCAGCGGATAACAATTCATCTACACCATCTACTCTGAGCACCAGGCAGCCAACTCTTTTGCAGAGGCTTCTATGTGCAGATATCAGGAGAGAGAAAACCCGCTTGCTGCAGGTTTTGAGGTTTACGGTGATGAATTCTTTCTTCAATAAATGGCCTAAGGAGCCTCTGAGATCCCCCTTGGTAGTAGTTAAACAGACTGGGTGTAACAGTGATGTGGTTGACGAGAAATGTCCGAATATGGGAAGTGGTGTTTCTGAAGGAAGTAACTACACAAAGATTGAAGCACATGAGGATGTAAATGATGATGATGACAACAATGGTGGTGGTGGTGGTGACGACAACAACGACAATGCCACTAATGAACATGGTTCTTATGTTAAAGAAGTGGCTCATTTTACTAGTTTAGAAGGTAGTACTAGGAACGAAACTGAGGAATGTGAGGAGGAAGAGGGAGAAATCATTTACTAGTTTCTGCATGTGTATATAACAGACCATTTCTGGAAACAGAATTGGGCAACCTAGTAGTGTTTTTTTTGTTTTTTTCAAGTTGTTTTTGTAATATGCCTTCACAAATGGAAAGAAATTGTGAAAACATTCCTGGAAACAGAATTATGCAATTTATGTTTGTTTAGGAGAAATCATGATTTCTTGTATTTTTTATTTTTTTTGGCTTGAATCATGATTTCTTGTTTAGTTGCTCGGGACTTCTGGTAAAATCCAATTCTGTGAGAAGCAACCCATGTTGCTAAATTCTGTGCCAAAATTTTTTTTTTTCTGAAAAAAAAATAATAATAATAAATTTCTGTGCCAAATTTACCATATGATCTACGAGGAAAATTGTTGTGCCATGTAAAAAAAAATATAGTATATATATAGAATCTACCAGGAAAAATGGTTTTTAATTTTATTTAAAAAAAAAAACAAAAACATACCCTCATATGTACATTGAACAATAAAAGAAATAAAACAAAAAAAAGGCAAGGCTCCAAGGCCTGATAGCACATACTCGTCCTGAAGGTGGCTTGATTTTAAAAGTAGATAATTTTGGATTTCAACAAATTTTTGTTTCTCCCTAGATTGAGCTATTGAATATATCATAGGAATTAGATTTATTCCATCTTCGAGTTGACATATTATTAAAGCTTTTAAATTTATTTAGCTTCAAAATTTCTTTACCTAGGGTTTACTTATTTTTATGTTTTTTAAAATTCTCTCGTCTCTTTTTGTAGGCTCTTTTTCTTTCTTCATAGCAAAATCATTAGTACACTCATGACACTGATATTTTATGCGTCCCTTTTTATCACAATAGTGCATTGGACGGAGATAAATTTATTTGACATGAATTTCAATAATTTGGATCAGATTTCATGTTTGCATAAACTTTATATTAGGGGAGACTGTGAACTAAGATAATCGATCCATTCAATACCAAAAACACATTTTTAAAGACTGATTTTACATTTGATTTTGTCTCTCTAGGCCTTTGAACTTTGGAGGCATAGATACACATAGTCGTGCAACCGGTTTTCAACTTGTATCATAAGAGTCCTCTCATGGAGAAAATATACAATGTGTCCAGTGCATAGGCACATCTTAGCCGTCCCTGTGGGCGCCTGTACAATGGCTACAATGCACTACTACACCCATTCCAATTTCAAAATCCCAATTTGACGCTGCCAAAACAAACACATTATGAAAGTTGCAGCTAATTTATCGAACACACACATGTACACCCAAAGAGAAATAAGTCAAATAACTGCAGTTTAGTCAAGAATATATATATATATATATATATATATATATATATATGATAATTGAAAGCAATCCATTCATCCATTGGACCAACCTCTAAGGTCACCGGCAAAGTAAAGGCACTTCAGTTTTCATCAAGAACTTAAATGTCATGGTTATTTGACTTGCATTTAAATTCACTTGGGAACCTGCTCTGCCAAAATATATCTGATGCCTAATAAAGGAGAATTTCTCATTAATACAAACCATTGGCAAATTTTGACCCGAAGAAGACGGTATTTCTGCTGAATATCTTATCTTCCAGGCTTCCAGCACCACCAAAACTCGAAAAATAGCCCTGCCACAGTACAAGATTGTGTCAGAGCGCATCGTACAATCATAAAAGTAATCTATGAAGAATCCTATATTACAGGAAGTCAATACAGTAATTATATTCATACGTAAGTCATTGTAAAATATACAATTAGTCACTAAATATTTTCAAATGAAATACTTGTTACTTGCCGAACAAAATAAAAAATAACAATAAAAATCGAAAGCTTGATTCACGAACACTAATTATTTCACTAAAAACATACAACAATCCACATGGGTACGTTAGTAATCATGGCATTATATAAGAATTGATTGGTTCTCTTGCATATTTTTCCCTAGTTTCACAGTACTATTTTGCAAATTTATTATTCCCATATTTCTAGATTCAAAGGTCCTATAAGATTCTAGGCTCCCCTAGGTCCCATCATCTGGAATGACAATCATTCCTAAAACTAAACTAAACGATACCTGTAACTATGGTTTTAAAAGCTACAGTAACAGGCACTATATATTGTGTTTATTCACTATCTATGAGTCTCGTTTTACCATCTTCCCTCACTTAACCAATCTCAGGCCCAAATAGAAGATGAACATGGGTACTGCAGTAAATGGTCAGTATCGAGCCATGAGTTTTTCACATTATAATTTATAATGAAACCTGAGAAAGGATCAGTCGTCCATGTGGCCAAACTAAAATTCTTAGTTCTGCAATAATGGATACTAAGTTCTTCGTCATTGAACTAACAGATTCTTTTTCCGTTCTAAGGAAACAAATGAAAATACTTCACAGATAAGATTCTCATAGCATTTTCTAATAGCATTATAATTGCTTCTAACATTCCAACTCTTGTCTTTTTGGATAAGATTCTCGACAGCAATTTTCCCTCAATTAAGTCTACATATTTGACAATACTCACTCTCTTAAATTAATCCACAAATGGTCAATTAATTACCAAGAACAAAAGCATACCAGATCCATATAGTTTACAGAATCACTGCCAAAACCTAAGGAATTGGGAGCTTCTATTTTTAGGCTATGTTTCTCTCTCTGGAAAATTGTCAAGTTTCTCATAGAAACCATGGATCCGAAAGCTTGCAAGAGTATTCCTAAACCAGATAATGTCAAGGCATACCAGATGATTGGTTTAGAAGCTCAGCCAGAATATAGGATGAGCGAGTTTTCTAGCTGTTCAGAATCTGATTTAGGATTAGCAGACATTCAAAAAGCTTTTGAATTTTGCCATGAAAGCAAGAGCTAATATCGCTGATCTAATTGCAGCGGATGCAGCTGTGCAGTTGGCTGAAAATTTGCTCAAGACAGGTGTGATTGTGTTTGTCATGTTCAAACTATTGAGTATTTTAGTACAATATATGTTGGCCAATTTCTATCCAAAATGCTTGGCGTTGTATTTTTGTCTTTCAAGTCAAAGTTAAGGATTGAAGTCAACCAAATTGACCCAAGCTCACCAAAAATAGAACCACACAACTTAGGACACAGTAGAGGTGGTAAATGGGCAGGTCAAATAGTGGTTGTGACCCAAATTCAACCTGTTTGTAGCAGGTTAAATATGGTTTGGGTCAACCAGTAATGACCCACTTTTTTTTTTAGGAGGAAAAAAAATAATTTTAAGATTTCTTTAGGCTAATTCCATCTTAAATTACTAAAAAAAATTGAAAGTTATATTAATTAATATTGAACTGCGTTGAATACAAGGTAGTTTAAAACAACAAAACCTCCTTGATCTAAGAATCCTTCCGGAACCAATATTATTTTTTGAAATTAGACTACAAATCCAATTTGGCATCGATTGACCCGTTTCTCACTATTTGACCCGTTTGTTGCAGACCTAACCGTTTGCTGCAGCCAATAATACAGCGTCGCTCACTCAAATATGTTGTTGTCATCTCATCTACCTTGTCTTAATCGATTCTCTCTATTCAAAATGAAATCATGTTTGCTATATCCAACAATATGGTGTCTCTCTCTCTCTCTCTCTCTAACTAACTAACTCCATGGAAGCCAAAGGTTCAAACCTCTTCTTCGTAAAACCCAATCCAAGTTCAACAACAATGAATACAATAGATTTCCTGGACCACCTCAAAGCCTACCTCGCAAAGCGTGACGGCATCGACAAGCTTCTCAAGATCTCATGCTACACTACCAAGATCATCCTCGCCTCCTCCGTCCTCCCCGAAACCTAACTCTAACTCCTAGTCTCAATAGCTTTGAGTCAAGCATCGGCATGAGTCGATGTCATGTTGGTTGGCCAAATCGGGCTTGATCGATGTCGAGAGATGTACCTTTTGCGGATAGAGAGAAGACAGAGAGAAAGAGAGGCGCTAAAGAAGGGAGAGGATGAAGAGAGAAAATGAATAGTAGTTAGGCCCGTTAGGGTTAGAGAGGCGCTGCAGAGGATGAAGAGAGAAGATAGGCATAGAGAGATTAGGGTTTACTTTAAAATGAACGGATTAGATGGGTTGAGTATTGGTACCCAGATTCAACCCGATATTTATCCGATTATGTTTAAATGAACCCATTTTCAACCAGAATTTTAAAATTAATGACCCAAATCCAATTAATCACGAGCGAGTTGGTAACTGTTTTGCTGGCCCTAGGACACAGAATGTGTTAGAAAACTAAAAGTTATTTTAAAAGGGTTCTTACATTTTTATTAGTGAAAAGCTCAAGTTGGTTTAAAAGATAATTTTAGAAGGCACTAACAATTAGGACAGTGAGCTTGATGCATCGGTACACTGGTTTTATACACTAGTTTTAAAATTGGTACACTAGTTCAGAATCATATGCGTGATTCATTTATGTTTTTTAAGATTAATTATCTTGAAGTATGTTTTGAAATTTTAAAATAATTGATTGTTATGTTATGATGTGGTTAGATATTGAAATGTAGTTCTCATATTTGTTTCCGTCAAAAAATATTTTCTTTTGTGTTCCAAGAGATTACAAAGAGTTAAAAGACTACTTTACAAGAAACCAGAAAAAACAGAAGATGAAACTCAGTTGAGCTTATTAAGTCATATTGTGCATTAGATTTTCAAATTGGGGTTAAAGCAAGTGAAATTGCTCAGCAGGAAAATGTGCACCGATACGCCTTGAGAGTGCATGGGTAGAGGTCACGTGGTAAGTGTAATATACAATTCCAAAGAGTTCTGTACAGGTACACCTTCAGCATGATTAGTATACACATATTCATCCTCCTTAAATAATTTTTTGAAACAATCTTTGTTATAAATAGGAGAGATTACACTCGAGCTGAATCAAAAGTTGTATCATCATCTGCTAAACCTAATCCTTGTGCCTTTAAGACTAACGACTCAATCTTCTTTGTAATCATAGCATTCTTGATGGCCGGAGGTACTCACAAACATGCAATGAATAATCCTGAAGTTTAAATTCAGCTAGACCATCTCACAGAGCTACCTCATCTTCAACTCCAATAGCTTCACCTGAATGTCCAGTGTTATGTTGTCAATGCTTCATGCCTCAGAAGGTATATGGAAACCAATCGCCACCGTCCATCATATGTGAGAGAGAAAGATTTGTCTCAATCCCATGTGGGAGGGTATTCATTCCAAAATAATTTAGAGGAGGGGAAATGAACCAATGTTTCTTTAATCAAAGAAGAGGCAGCAGACTATATGCGACTCTTCTACACCAACATCTGTGAGTCTAGCCTTGAATAACTTTCTGTTGACATCATAGTGTTAGCTATTAAGTACGGACAACATAATCACCTTCCAATTTGGTCCTCTACGTATCTTTAGAATCCTAAGAACACGAAAGGAAGTCATACTTCCCACAACAATACTCTTGTAGATAGTCAAACTTATCGACTTACAAAACTTAAATTTAAGAGAAGACGTGGTGCATATTAGGAATTAGGAAAGAATGGAAAAAGAGAATTCATGTGACTGTCCCCATCCATATGGGATAAAGGCAAGGATGATGATGATGATAGTCAAACTCATGTTCGAAATCCTTAGTAGTCATCCTGCTTTCACCAAAAAATTCCATTATCCACTTTGTGGTCCTAACATCACCGCGCAAAGAATTTGATGTTGCATACCTACAAAAGAAACCATACCCCGTCACCACATGGAGTTGCTTTATCACTTTCCATGGACTCTATTAACCTTTGGCAACTATATTGAAACAAATTATTAAGGCCCTAAATGTCAACCTTAATGCAAAGATGAAGCGTCATGGTGACAACCTCCCTCTAAATGCAAAGATGCATGCTCCAATGAAAATCATTGATCTCAAGGTTGAGAAAGTCAATTAGAGTCAAAATCCTTCTTCTGAACTCTTCACCTCCATCTCAACCTTCTTCCAGTAGACCAGAAAGTCATAGGGATCCCAAAATTCCCATGATTGTGAAGAGTTGTATAAAACTCTCTCTCCAAGCTTTGAGATTGCATCGACATTTTGGAATCCATTCATGTTGACACTTATTGGGACATCTAACAAGTAACGGACTACTAGAAGAATGAAGAGCACAATGAGGGTGATGAAGATGATAAAGATGGTGGAGCAGCAGAGTAGTTTTAAGGTGTTTTGATGTAATTTTGGCTTACATGTCTTATATTTTTACTTTCGATGCATTCTCACTTATCCAAAAAAAAAAAAAAACTACTTTGCTTTAGTTTATGCTTACTATATATTACATGTTTCTATCATGTGTTGGCTTCTTTTGCAATGTAATTCTCAAATTTTATGAATTAAAAAACCAACTTATCTTCTGTGTCCGAAATGCTCAAATTGCGCTTTTCCGTTCACTTGCTATTAAAGCTCTGTTGTCATCATAAAATTAGTTAAATTAATGCATAAAGTAAAAATAATAACTGATAAAAAAATAAAAGACCATAATATTAATATTTAATCTAGTTATAAGAATAATAACTTGTCAAGTTTTTCAATTGAAGGCAGGCAACCAAAAAACTGACCTACTTCAGTGAATGGTTTATATATTCAAGCCAAAACATTAATTTTACAGGTGGAATGAT